TTTGTGCTGCCGTAGGCGGAGTAGTTGATGTGCGTGTGTAGCCACCGATGAACAAAACGCGGAACAATTCATCAGGGTTCAAATCTAAACATTGACGCCAGAATCATCAGATTGCCGATTTTTGCACACATCTATCCATTTCGCTATCCACAATTCCATGCTCATCATCCCAACTGTGCTTCTACTGACTAATTTTGTTTGCCCTTTCTTGGGCAGAAATATTGCAACGTCATGCAAAATATTAGGTTGTTTCTCCATGTGCTCGAATGGTTACCCTTAACCGAACTCATTGGCAACAGTCAAAATTTACCATTGAAACTGAAATCGGTGTTGCACTTCCTACCAGGCATGCACTGAACATGTTGCGGCTTCCTCCTTCTCTGCAGAAAAAAAGCTTATTAGTTTCACTTTTCCATCCTTTTTCCTCCTACTTCTTGGACGCTATGCAGGTACGTCCATTTGGCCTGCTCCTAAGTAATGTAAGGCTGAATGGCTAAATGGGCTGCTCCTTGCAGCCCTTCATTTCTGCAGCAAATCTCTTCCCTTTCAATGCCAAATTTTCATTTATGGTTGGTTGGATGGGTATGTTGGTGGGTGGGTGAGTTGGAAGGATGGATGCAGATAAGAAAGTGGAAAATGTGTGTGCCTTCAACCTCATTGAATGCCTTTGTGTGGATCCACATCACAGGAATTGCATGCCACTCTTGGTGGGCAATCAACGTCAGTGACGGCCCCATTTATTGTCGTGCTAGAAATGCATGAAGTAGTCATAGGCGCAGCCTCGCTCATTGTACACCACATAGGCGACAATGTGACTGCCGTCATTGAATCAATCTTAAAACGTTGATTCAAACTAGCGGTACCTCACTTATAATAGGTTTATATTTTTTTGCTAAATTACAACATTCGAACGTCCATGCGCAATTCCGCAAATCCGCATTCTAAACTTACTTCTGTAAAATAATTGCTGCTGCATCAATAAAAGCGTCCTTGCAAAATTATATTTAGGGGAAGTGGCGAAAAGTAGACAGGTTCAACCCAATGTCGGAGTAGTTAGCTGTACTACATGCAGTCGCTTTCATCGCATTACTGCAGCATTAGGACGACAACAAGTCCTTCTCGAGAAGCGCTAACATACAATGCTTTTAGATGGTGTCTTCCACAGCTCACTCGTGCCTCCATGATGGTGCGACTGACTGGCTTCGTGAGTTGCAAGGCCACGTAAGAAGCAGCCGATTCTCTTTGAAGACTTATGAAAATGAATAGCACAAACACGCACTTAGTGGTGGTCAGTGATCAGGAGGGCTTGAAGCAGTGCTGCAAAACCAACTGAGGTGCCTCAAACACGACGCTTCAGATCCGAGACTTCACACACAATTGCACATAGTTGATAAATTGCCAAGTTTTCTGACCATTTTGTGCTTCGAAGGGCCAAAATAAAAAGGAAATGCATAAACTACTGGGCTAGAGAAAAGAAATGAAAGGGAATTATCCATGCAACGGCGCATCCTACAGCGTTACATCAGGCCGAGCCTAGGCACACATTCCACACACTTGCTTTTTTGGGTAGCAGTGTGACTTGCCTCCATGATCGGTAGGGATAGCATAGCTTTCTACTTGGTTTACCTACTTATGCACACTGTGAAATCCATCCTCATTGTTAAAGATGGCAGGCAGTGTTAATGTATGACCCTCCAATGCATTCTAGCAGATAAAAGAGAACCGTTAATCAAGGCACCGATTTGACCCTTTACATTCAGAAGCACCAACCTTAATAGCAAAATTCATATGTACGTTTAAGCAGTCATTCGTGTGTGCTCAGAAAGCATTTTCACTTGGAGCGATCCACATTTCAATCTTATGACATGACCCATCGATGTACTGACGGTGGTGCCAATATAAAATAGAAGGACATGATTGCCAGCATGCTTTTTAAAATCATGGCAGACTAAAGGCAAGTCATGAATAAATGGGTGAGACAGTGAGGTGAGTTAGATGTGAGTGGGTGAATCAAAGCAAACCCAGTGCATGCAGGCTTTCATGAGCCCTGATGTACGTATCTGTCAGAAGACAAAGCGATTTACAATACACAGGAGGTTGCAGTTAGGGGTAAACAAGAGCATCTACAATTTTACAGTGCCGTGTTTTTCAGGGTCGCATAAAAGGAGATGATTTCATTTGCGACTCTCCTCATTTCATCCTTCATAGCTCTGCTTTTACGAATTCAGATTTTCGGATACAACATTAAAGCTGCATGCGCTCTCAAACTTCTTGCGCATTTCTCCCTAGTCCTCCTTTGTGGCCTCTTTCTCCGTTTTTGTCCACTCGATCGTTTCCTCACACCTCGAGAGTATATTTTGTCGACAATCTTCCGATATCTTCTGCTTCATCTCCTCCTTCTCCATTTTCCTCTTCATGCTGTAGATGCAGTCCACCAACACAATCATGGCCGCCACCCTACTCCTCTCCTTCTCGTCATCCTGCTCAAACGTCTCCGCATCTAACAGCATTCGTTCTATCTCCTTCGTTGACAGACGACACTTGTAGTCGGTGATTGTGATGCTGTTCTGCTTCTCCGTCGACTTTTCCATCGCCCAGTGAGAGTGGTGTCACCTCCAGCAAAATTAAATCCCTCACAGCCTTCGACTTGTCACCAGTCATATTGGCCGCCAGCAATGTAGCGCCGTACGCCACCGCCTCGTCTGGGTTGACGGACCTTGTTCATTCCCTACCATTGAAGAAGTCCTGCAACATCTTCTCCACCATCGTAATACGTGTTTATCCACCCACTACTAATATCTCATGGATGTCAAATAAAATAACAAAGGATACCATATTTCTGGAAATGACCATTCTCCTACTCTTTGGCATTTAGTCATGCACTACCACTGTAAGTCGCTATATTCAAGGATAGGAAGATTAATCTAATGCCAAACTGTCTCTTGTTAAAGTAGGCAAAGGATTTTTAACCAAAGTATTTGCATATTCCATTAAGCTCTACGTAGTTAGGATTCAAATTAAGTTGTGCCTCTGGCCTACACGAGTTTATTACCTTTTTCGCTGTAGAATCCGTAAGTCCTCACATGTGTTAACGTGGGGTCTAGTCTTTCATTTCGAGTAGTTCTCGTCGTCTTGTGAACTGTTTGCCAAAGTATGCTCTATGATGCTATATTTGGCGCTCGCTTTATGGGACCCTTGTGTAAATTTGTATCATATCTAGTGGTTACGTGTCTTTTGGCTTGACGTATTTAACTACCTCCAGGTGAAAGCTTGCCAATGTCACTGTCTATAAATAATAGTTGAAACTGTTTGGGGTATAGGTTCCAAGCATCGGCTTGGATTTGCTTTTTTCATTCTCCTCAATTTTGTTAACTGTGTATTTTGCCTTCCTTCTCACACTAACTGGAAGTTTTATGGAAGGAAAATCGCTTTTTATACAGGCAAGTGGTGTTAGCACTTTTTTTCTTTTTCAAGTCTTTTCTCTCCCTCAGCAAGATTCATCGATGATGAGGTGGGTTTGATCGAGTACTGTCTACGCATAGCAGATTATGTCATTCAAGACAGAAATGTGAAGCTGGGCAAAGAATTGGGAAGACGCAACTTTAGTGTGGTCTATCTAGGTCGTATACATGGCATGGAAGAGGCAGTGAAGGAGAGCTTCAACATCACAAACGACCAAGCCTTTTGTGAGGCAGTAAAAATGTTGCGAAACCTTTCACATCAACGCATCATGCACTTCCTTGGCTTCTGTTGTGACGCGTCGATTGCAGAGTCCTCATTATCTCCAAGTTCATGGCCAATGGCGTACTTCAAGACTACCTTAAGACCCCTGAGGGACGCCAACTCGACTACCCCAAACTCGTTTGCATTATTGTTCAGGTTGGTGCCTACTAAAGCTCCTTGCCCCTTTGCATCACCTCTCACCATCCTGCTGCTCTTAACTTCAGTCATGACTCCCTGTCCAAATTTGCCTTTCATGTTTGAAGATGCCTTGTCTCCAGGCAACGAAATCATTTGTCGATGCTTGCCCTACTGCGCATTGTGCACTTTGACTTTCTGCTGCCAAGTCTTGTGAGATTGGCACAGCTCGCTGCACATTACCAAGCGTCGTTATCAAATGGGTGGATTCAATGATATAAGCAATTAAGAATCCTACGCAGGGTGGACTGCATTCCCAAACACCGAGTATCGCGCTCTGCCTTCACGAGTGTGTTCGTCACACCCAGATTTCATAGAGCCACCCAGCTGCTACTGAGACGTAAGAAAAATTACCGCAAAAAACGTAAGTACACAGAATGAGCCTCATCGGATTCAAACGACTGCACAAAACATTTCAATAGGATGTTAAAGCAGGTCACACTTCTACAACTGCATTCAGTCGAACTCGCTAGAATTTATCAAACTATTCCCAATTAGAATTAGGGTAGATTTTACTTGCAACTATCAGGAACAAAGTATCACAAACAACTTAAGGACATGACTGCAGATGCATATTTTGTTAAATTCACTGACAAGTTTGTTTGTAGTAGTAGGCTTGTGCAGACGATAGTTAGGAGGGTGTAGCCACTAACCAGTCAATTTCCCACCCCTTTTTTCACCCTATATCCATTCATATGTAGCGTAGCACCAGCCTACCAGGTTCACAAGTTGGCCGCCAGCAATCAATTCGCTTCATAAACACTACAGGCATTTCCCCATTTGACATACATTATATTGTGGACGAATGTGATGAGGTAACCAACTGAGGACTCCCTCACACATTTCTCGTCATCATTACTATTGGAGATACTATTCGATCTCTTTGCGATAGGTAACATCGAGTAGAAGTTCACGTCAAGCTGAAGCAGCTTATGGATAACAGTGCCATCACGCAGTGCCCCATAGAATGGTGTGCTCCCAAGTGGGTAAATGTACACAACTACTTCACATCTTTGTCGTACCTCATGTCAACACACACAACAGTGAAGATGGTGCATTTGTCATCAAACTTGGTCGAGTTAATCTAGGTAAAGAATGCAGAAGTCACAAAT